ACCTTGCTGGGATCAGGAGCAGATCCCAACCTTCCCTTCCCACTTTGTCTCTCTTGGGAAACACAGGTGTGAGCTGTGTAAGATCTCGGGGATCTGCAGGTGCCTGGGAACATCCAATGGCTCCAGGGCCTCCCTCTGCTTCCCGGAGGAGTTCCGGAGAGCGCCTGGACCTGTCAGACCTGTGTGGCCTTCCCGGGGCAGGGACACATTCCAGCCGTTCCTGCAGCCTGAGTCACTCGTGGCTCCTGCGGCTCCCAGCGAGATCCTTCACCCCCATCTCCACTTCCAAAGGTGAATCATTCCCGTGGGAGGGAGCTGGGAATCGCCTATCGCTCTGGGAAGGCTCAGCCCGGGGCAGGGACCACAACGGGGCTGTCTTCCCACATTCCCAGGGGAAGATGGGAGCTCTGGGCACGATCTGGACAGCCCAGAGGTTGTGCTGGTGCCATCCCAAGGGGCTGATAACATCCCAAATCTCCTGGCTCTGGTTCTGGGAATGCCATCCCAAGGTGCCAATCCCATCTCAAGATGCCAATGCCATCCCAAGCTTTCCAGCTCCAGTTGTGCCAATGCCATCCCAAGGTGATGATGCTATCTCAAGGTTCCAATGCCATCCCCAGGTCCCAACACCATCTCAAACTTCCTGGCTCTGGTTCTGCCAATGCCATCCCCAGGCCCCACCACCATCCCCAGGTACTGATCCCATCCGCAGGTACCGGTGCCATCCCCTGCCCAGCTGAGGGAGCGGGCAGATTCCCGGGCGGATTCCCGGGCGGTCGCCGCGTGGGGAGCGGGGCTGCGGGCGCTGAGTCAGCGCTCCGGAGGGTGCGGAGCCGCTCCTGCCGGGCCGGCACAATGGGAGCGCTGGATAAACAGGCTGAACAAGGACAAACAGCTCCCGCGGGGGCACTGCCAGCATTGTGACCGGCCGGATTAATGGCCCGGACACTGAGAGCCTCTGTTCCACCGCCGGCTGCTTTCCGGGGGCTTTTTCCTGGCCGGACACCCTTTCCTGGCCCTTTGCCCTGCTCCGGTGGCTCAGGGAGAAAGGAAGGACACAGGGAAGAATCCCAAGCCTGAACGCCTCGGTTAGATGGCTGGGGAAACCTGCCTGGGGATCCCACCTCACCTGTGCTCCCACCTCACCTGTGCTGGGAGGGTATCCTGAGCCTCCCAGCCCCTTCCCGGAGCCGTTTGGGAATGCTGCTCCCCCAAGAGTCACCCCGACAGCCTCCTGCCCTTCCCCAGTCAGCCAGTGAAAACCCTCAGAGGGATCCAGAGGGGGAGAAGGAGAACCAAAGCATGGATTTGGGGTCCCACTGCAATGCCCTGGGCAGATCCCTAGAAGGATTAGGAGAACCAGAGTATGGATTTGGGGTCCCACCTCAAAACCCCAGAGGGATCCCAAGGAGAAGGAGGAGAACCACAGTGTGGATTCGGGGTTTCTGAGGGCACAGCCAGACGTGCAGCCGGCCGAGTGCTCTCCAGGCTCCGGTCACCGCAGCTGAATGATCCCTGTGTCCGTGGCACGGGTGGACGTGGCTTCCCATGACCACAGCAGGTCATGGAGAGCTGGGAAACCCCAAAACACCTGGCACAGGAACCTGCCAGAGCCACCACGGGGTCGGCTCCAGAGCGGGATCAGCCCCTCTTCTCCATTCCCAGGGAGAATTCCTGCTCACTCTGGACATGCTGATCCCTGCTCTGCCACTGCTGGATAAAGATAAAAATATATTTAATATAATCTGGTGCTAACTGATCCATTATTGACATTATCCCAGGAGCTGCCAGCCTGGAGCCGGCGGCATTCCAGCAGCCAACAAAGCCCTTGTTAGTGGCCAGGCTTGGACTGCTCCAAAATCCTTTATTTATGGAGGTTTTAGGCGAAAAAAGGGACATAAACAGAAAAGGGGGAGTAAGGAAAAAGGGGAGGGAAGGGAGAAAACCCTGAGAAGTTATTTAGGAAAGGAAGAAAGAAAAAAAACTGGAATAAAATGGACATTCACAGGGAAAATCCTGGCTATGAAAGAGCCTTTTAAGCTGGTGGAAAAACAGAACCTGTAAGATAAAGCCAGGAAAAAATTCCCAATAAAGCCCCATTTCTAGGGGGATGGAGGAGACATCAGAGGTGATGCCTGTCTGATAATGGGATGGAGGTGCCCCGGGATGGGTCAGACCTCCAAAATTTGGGATTGGGGAGATGTTGGAGGAACTGCCCTTCCAATAACAGCCCTAGAATGGGCCAGACCCCCAAAAATCCAGGATGGGGCAGCAGCGATTGGAGCATCCCAGGGCTGGGACTCTCCAGGGCAGCAACAGCAACATTCCTGACCCTGGGAATAACATTTAATTTATTCTCAGCCCATATATTAAGAAAATAAACACGGGGGGAGGGGCTGTTCCCCCCTTCTGCCGCCGCCTGATTGATTTCAGGGCTCCCCGGAGCAGCCAAACCCATCCCGGCAGCGACAATTTGGGATTGTGTGAGGCGGCGGGAAGGGCCAGGGGGAGCCCAGCGCCGTGTTTTCCCTCTGCCTCATTTTCACCTTCCCGATCCAAAGCAAACAGGCGGCCGGAGGCTTTTCTGCCGGACATGAGCACACACAGCCCCCTTGTTCCTCACTTCTCCGGGGAGGGAGGGAAACGGGGGGACTGGGGGGATTTTTTCCTGTTTTTTAAATCGCCACGTCGGAATATCGGTGATTAAAATCATGGGAGCACAAGAGGGATGAGAATCCACAGCGAGGAAAATATTCTCTGTCCAACCCAGGGGAGTGGAGTTGTCCCCGTGGAGGCACAGAGGGTGTTCGGAGGCAGAGGATTCCCTAAATCCCTAAAATCCCGTCTTTTGGGTGGGTTTTCCCATCAACTGCTGGATGGAGGAGTTTGCAGTGTCACCCTCTAACCTGGATAAATCCTTAAATCCCATGTTTTGGGAGAGTTTTCCCACTGGTCACTGCATGGAGGGGTCTAAAGCATTGCCCTCCAGCCTGGATAAATCCCCAAATCCCACATTTTGGTGGTTTTCCCACTGGCTGCTGCATGGAAGTGTCTGAAGTGTCACCTTTCACCCTGGATATCCCACAGGCAGGGAAAGAGGATGGAATGGGAGTTGAAGGTGAAGGGGTTTATACACCTTTCTTAGGGATTTGCCCTAAATTGATGAATTTATCCCGGATTCAACTTGGCTATACTGGATCTGCAGGATCTGCCCCTGGCAATGACCCTTTAATCCCAAACCTAGCATAAACCATGGACAAAGAGCAATTCCAAAAGGAAAACCCAACCCCCAGAGGCTCCCAGGGCAGGAACAAATAAAGAATCCCAATTTAATTATCCTTATAATCCCAGTGTAACACCTGGCTTGGGTTTGTGGTTTTATAACTCAGGGAGAAGGGACTGGAGCCCTGGAACTCCTGGAGCCAGCACTTGGAGAGGGCTGGAGTGTGTGGGGTGATGTCCTGGGTACTGCTTCCAAAGGGTGGGGATTGGGAATGTTGGTGGGGGTCACCTTGATCACCCAGGGGTGCTGGGGGCTGTTGGGAATGCTGGTAGAGGATGTTGAGGGGCATTGAGAATGCCAGTAGGTGCTGGGAATGCTGGAGGGTCCCAGGAAAGCAGGTATGGGGAGAACACCCTGCCTTTCCCACACTGGGATTGGCTCCCAGGGTGTTTTCCCTTTGGATGGCTGGGACAGGAATCACTGGCAATGGCAGAGAATCCTTTATGGGAGTGGTGGGACCCCACTGAGTGTCACTACCCCAGGATGTGGCAGCCAGATTTGTCCTGCCTTGGGGGATGTATCTGCCTGGAGCAGCTGGGAAAGACTTGGGATGGTTGGGATGAGCCCCACTGGGTGGAGATGCTGTGAGTGCCTGAAGGAACAGGGAGTCCAGGATGTGCAGCCCACAGGGCCCCCCCTGATCCAACAGGCTTCAGCGGGATTTGGGGATGGTCATGGCACTGGGATGCTTGGGTTCTGGGGTAACGTTCCAATGGATTTTGGGGTGCTGGGGTTTTGGGATCAGCAGCATTGGGAAGAGCTGGCTCCCAGCCCCTTCAAAGAGCTGCTTTCAAGTGCCGAGGGGAGATGGTATCACCTGGGAACCGGGAGGGCTGGGCCCCGCTCCCACCGCAGGGCTGGGAGCAGCTCCCACGGGACGCCGGCACAGCCCGGCACAGCCGCGGGGGCTCCTGGCACTGGGGGGCTCAGGGGGACCCCCTGCCTGTCCCCACCCCTGTGGGCTTCCATGGCTTAAATATGGCATCCCAGGGGATGACCCTCATGGATCATGGGGGATGTGTCAGCCACCAGATGGATTTGGGCCACCACAGTCCCTTTGTCCCCAGACAAGGTCCCCCAACACATCCCTTTACCTGAAAGGAATCCCGGCTGGGCCCGTCGGATTTTGGGCTGACCAAGGTTGGGATCAGTGGGGTGGGGACCCTGTAGATTTTGGGCTGACCAAGGCTGGGATCAGCAGCAGCCGATGATGATGAAGGATGTGCTGGCAGCAGATTTGGCAATCCAGGAGTCACGGGAGGGCACAGAGGGGTGTGGTGGTGGGGGGTCCTGGTTCCTCCTGCTCCCCCTCCACGTGAGGACCCCGGTGAGGGGGTGACACTGAGCTGGGGGCTCCTCCTGGATGTTCCCATGAGGGGGATCCTGAGCCGTCCCATAAGGGGGGTCCCAGGCACTCCCGTGAGGGGGGTCCGGGTGCTCCCCTGAGGGGGGTCCCGGGGCTGATCCCATGAGGGGGTTCCCTGGTGCTCCCCTGAGGGGGGTCCCGGACAGTTCCCTGAGGGGGGCCCCGGGGGTGCTCCCGTGAGGAGGGAGGGTCCCCGCGCTGTGCCCTGAGGGGGTCGCGGTGGGCGGCGGTTCCCGCGCTGTGCCCGCCCCGGCCCGGCCGGTGCCGCCCATTTCCGCCGGGCGGAGCCGCCCCTCGGCCCCGCAGCGGCCCCGGCGCCACCGCCCGCCCCCGGCCCCGGCCCCGGCGCCGGCCCCGCTCGCTCCGGTGCAGCCCCGCCATGGCGGGCGGCCCGGCCGCGCTGGCCCTCGGTACGTGCGGGGCCGCTCCGGGACCGGGGGGCTCGGGGGGCTCCGGCCCGGGGGTCCGCGCCCCGCCTGCCCCGCACGGACCCCGCCGAGGGGAGCGGGGGGGGGGACACCCGCAGCCCCCTCCGCCCTGGGGGGTTCTGAAGGGTTTGGGGGTTTTGGGGGTGGTTTGTGGTTGTTTGGTGCGTGAATGCCATGAAATCCCATAAAATCCCCCGGGCGGTCGCTCCCGAAGTTCGTTCCCTGTGGGAAGGCGCCTTCGCCGCGACGCGTGAGTACGGCCCCTGCCGCTAATTAGGGCGGTTAATTAGAGCTGGGGGCTATTAGAGCACGGGTGGTGGTTGCCGGGGAAAGGGGGAGCAGTGGGAAGCGGGGTTCCCCAGGATGGAGCGCGGCGATGCTGCGGATGGGACGGAGGCGCTTCCCAGGCTGGAATGGGATGAGTGTGGATGTGGGAGAACGCGGAGCCGGGTCGTGGGTGCCCCTCATGGGATGCCGGGGCACCGGGAAGGATCTCGGTGCAGATCTTTGGACCGCGGTTGGCTTTGTCCCGCTGTCCTCGAGGAGGACGTGGTGTCCCCGCCTGTGTCACCCGCAGCTCCGGGGCTCCTCGCCGGGGCAAGGGTTCTTCTGTCCCGCTGGGAAAGAGCTACTTGGCAGTGCTTGGATTCGGGAAAGTGGCTGGAATTGGCCCCGCTCCAGCTCTTGGAGCTGCCGCTTTGGCTCCGGCATGGCCACCGTGTCTCCTGATCCCTCGGGGGGTCCGAGCATCCCTTGGGGGGCTCGGTGACACCCCTCAGCTCATCCAGGGGCTCCCGTGGCCCCTCTGCTCCTGTTGCTTCCCATTCCTGGGGCTCCAGACCTCTCCAACCCCGATGGTTGCCCGCGGTGGACATGCATCCTAGATAAAATGCATCGAGCCAGTGGATCGGAACATCCACTTTGAGAAGGGGAAAACCCCCTCCAGCCCAACCTACATGCACCTGGAGGCTGCCAAGGGCTGGGCTGGAGCTGAGGGGAAATCGGAGCCAAGCGGATCAGGAGGGCAAACTTGGAGCAGGGAACAAACCCAAGCGATAACGGGGAACTGAGCCCTTTGCTGGGGGAGAGGATGGGAATTAGTGGGATGTATTTGTTGGATCCGTATCTGTCAATCAGAAAGGTGTGGGAGTCCCTCGGTGAGCTGAGGGCTCCTGCCAGGAGGGTGAGTTCAGGGAGCTCGGCTGGCAGAGGAGGTGATGGCAAGGAGAGCTTCCCAAATGTCTCCGGAGAATGAGATGGGATGGGACTGGAAAACCAAGCGAGAGCAGCTGCCTGGGCTGGCTGGTGGAGGCAGCTCTGCTCCAGGAGCCGGTCAGGCCGAGGGTGTGGTTTCCACTGTGTCCATGAGGTGTCCACATTCCCTCTCTTGGGGAGCCACTGGAGCCCTCGGCTGGCATTGGGGATGGAAAACTGCTGCCAAGGACTGGCACTGGGGACAAGGTGGTCACACAGGGCAAGCTGGGCTTCCCCCTCGGCTGGACTTTGCAGGAGCAGGTGTTACACCTGACAGGGAAGTGACATCGGGAAGAGGCACTGCTGGAGCTGAGGGGGATCCCAGCAGGAGAACAGACAAGCCAGAATTCTGGAGGGAGTGATACAGCCACCCCATGGCACAGGGATGAGCCATTTCCCAAATAACACCTGATGTGGAGGGCAGAATATCAGGACAAGCCAGAGTGGGGCTGGAGGACGGAGCATTGTCCAGCACTGAGCCAAAAAAAATGGGAAAATCTGGTTAAATTTCCACGGGAAGAAAATCCTTGAGGTCTCCAACAAAAGCAGGGAAGCCGTGGTCAATTCCTGAAGCTCCAGTGATCCCTGAAGCTCCAGGGCTGCCAGGATTTGCTGGATGTGAAGCCTGAGGGTCTGTCTCGCCTTTCTGCGCCGTTCGATTAAATCCATGCAGGAAACTGGGTCAGATCCAGGGAAGGGGCTGCTGCCTCTGCTGGCTCCACACCCTGGGAAGGCTCAGAGCCAGGGGGGCTGCTCCGTTCCCCCTAAAGGGGCAGCTCGGGGGGGTGAAGCCTTCCCATCCTGCAGCCCCTCCCTCTGCCTGCACAAGGAATTCCTGCCTTTTCCTTAAAAACCTTGGAGTGATTTTGGTGAACCCTCCCAGCTTTTGGGGGGGTGTCACAGTGTGGCTGATTCCCGTCTCTGCCCCTTCCCCCAGGTGTCCTGCTCGCCGCATGCCACGCGCTGGAGAACACCACGGCAGCCCGGAATGGTGAGTTTGCCAGTGGGAATTGCGGGGTATCCGTGTTTCCAGCCTGCCTGGGATCAGCCACATGGATGCTCTGGCATCCCATTCTCCTCCCTGCGGGATAACGGGGCCCTGGGTGGTATCCTGCCCCCGCAGGGGCTTGGTCCCTAAGGAAGAACTGGGCTCTGTGGTGGGTGTTGTCCACACACCTTGCTTTTGGGGGGGAAATTCCTCAAAATCCTGCTGTATGACCACTCGGAAGTGTGTCCCACTGGAAGCTGCTGGTGCCTGACAGTCCTGGCGGCACCAGGAGGATAAATTGGCTCATTCATGGAAGTGGCACAATGGACTGTGCCAGCCCAGGGCCCTTCGCTCCCGGCACAGCTCCGATGGGATGTGCTGGCCTCAGGAAGGGCTGAGTGCAGGCAGGGCTGGGACATTTGGGGCTGGAAATGCTCCCTTTGGGGCTGAACACCCTTTTCTTTTGGGGCTGGGAAACCCTTTGGGGTTTGGAAACCCTCCTCTTGGGGCTGGGAAAGTTTCCCTTTGAGGCAGGAAAACTTCCTTTGGGGCTCAAAAATGGGATAGCTCAATGGCATTGTTTAGGAAAGTGGTGCCAGGAGGCTTTGGAGCAAACCCCTGTGGTACTACCATCACCCTGAGGATGCTGGCAGCCCCTTTTGCTGATGGATGTGTGCCCAACCTCCCTTTGGGGCTGGGAAACCTCCTTTAGGGACTGGAAAATGGGATAGTTCAATGGCATTGCTTGGGAAGCATTAAAGGGAACTGTGCTGGGAGGCTTTGAAGTAAAACTCTGTGGCAGGAAAGGCACCCTGAGGATGCTGGCACCCCCTTTCCCACTGAATGTGTTCCCAATCTCCTTTTGGGGCTGGGAAATCTCATTTTGGGCTGGCAAATCTCCTTTTATCACTGAATAATGGGATGGTTCAAGAGCATTATTTGGGAATCGGTGCTGAGAGATTTGGGAGCAAAACCCAGTGATGAGGTTGGCACTGGCATCCTGAGAGTGCTGGCAGCCCCTTTCCCAATGGATTTGTGCCCATCCCAGTGGGAGCTGATTTGAGGGGACACTGCAGGGACAGGAATCCTCGGGGTGGGAGGAGGAAGAGGAGGAGTTGGCTGCAATGTGGGCAACAGCTGGGAACGCCGAGGCTGAATGGGAGGCAGGACACCCCAGGATCTGTGCTGGATCCAGGGATGCAGCACAGGGACAAAGGGACATACTGCTTCTTCCAGCCCTGCTGATCCATCCCCAGCAATTCCAGGGGGCTCCGAGCTTGGAATCCAGAATGGGGGGCACAGCAGGCACAGGCTTGGATTTGTGGGTTAAAGCCCTAAAAAGGGGTAGTTTTGTAAAGATATTCCAGCCAGAAGGAGGAATCTGGGCTCTCCTGGGATAAATCCACCCCTGGGGATGGAGGTGTCAGGGTTTTCCTGGCGAGGCGCTGATTTTGGCAGTGATTCCCACTGTGAACTCCAAATCCCATCTTCTGGCTCCCTACGGATGCTGCTCTAGCTCTGACACCTCCAAGCCTCCACCGGTGCCTCTTCCAGCGCCGGAGTCGGGGATATGGGACTATCCCTGTGGGAGCCATCCCGCTCCGTGGTTCCTTGCCTGGGCTCCCCGAGGACCCAGAGGCATTCCCACATCCATGGCTTTAATTACCCTGGCCTGCCATAAATCCACGGCACAGGAACTTGAGGTGGCTTTGAAACGACAGCGATCGGATGTGCTTTATTCCCGGGATAATCCCAGCGCAGGATATTTGTTTCCCATGTCTGTAATTCAAACCAGCGTGGGATGTAATGGAAAACAGGATCCCGGCAAAGCCACTGGCTCGGTCGGAGCTGCAGCGACTCTGACGTTCTTTAACTCTCTCCTCCTCCATTTTAAGCTCTTTAGGAAATTCCTTTGGGATTATTTTTGGTGCTGGTTTAAGCAGGACCTGTCTGGGCTCCTTTAGGTGGCCACTGGACTATATCCTACGTGCTGATCCCAAAATAAAGCCATCCAGCCCCAAAACAGAGCTGGCTAAGTGTTGGGCTTGGGAAATTCCCTAAAAATGCTATTTTGTCCTTGTTTTTTCTCCCAGGCCCACCGG